CGTTACGATTGGACAGGTGGGAGGGGGAGGGGGGGGAGGGAAGAAGAGGTAACGCGAAACGAACGCGCGCGATGGTGGGGGTTGGTGCACGCGTCTCGTTGTAAAATAACAGGGAAACGCTTTTAAAAGATTGGCTCGTCCGGGTGACTTTTGAAAATGATACGCGTGAAATTTACATGCGTTTGCATTCCGGGATTAAATGTCGCGCGTACCTTCGCTTCATATACGTTACCGCGCGCGTGCGCCAGTCGGCTTTAAAGATTAATCCGCTGCCGGGCGAGATGTGTTTCTCCGTTTCTGAAAGTAGCTCCACTTTTTCTTCCTTCCTCCCCTTTCTCTCTCTCCTTCTCTCTCTTTCGCTCCCCGTCTCTCTCTCTCTTTCCGCTCTCCCAAATGTTTCATTTCGTCGCCGGGGCGGATTCCACCTTCTTCGCAATCTTTCCGATGACGACGCGAGGCACCCTTTGATCAAGCCGCCGCCGGATCCTCCTCGAACCACCAGCGAGCGACTTTCACGGGGAGGGGTAACTAAATGTTAGTTTTTCCCGAGACGCGCCTCGGGACCGCGCCACTCGAAACATCGGGGAATTCCTGCCGGGGCAGGAGAGACGCCGCTACCATCGGGCCCACTTTATCCACGGCAACCACGTTCTAAACATTTACCCTTAAATATAGAACGATTCCGAAGGAAAAGAAACACCGCGATCCGAGGACGTCGGGAAGCGAGCGGAATTTCGAGAACGGGGTGCATCCGAGACTCTGCTCTGTATCCCTGTCTCACTTTCTCTCTTTGTATCCTTCTCTCTCTTCCTCTCTCTTTCTCTCTCTCGGGCTTTTATGAGGGATGATTTAAGGAGCGGGATCGGAAAAGTTAAGGGCGCGAGACGCGTCTTCTAAGCCGTCGGAAGAGAGCACGTAATAATCGAGGTTGTTTCAACGAGTATTCCTTTCTCTCTCTCTCTCTCTCTCTCTCTCGTGTTGCTGTACGTGTCTCGGTCTCGCTTGGTCTACCTCTTTCACGTCTGACATTCAATGGACGACGCGCGCGGCCGTAAAGGGTCGCGCGGAATGTCGTGTACTCTGCGCCGGCGTAAATTACGTGCCCGGTGCCGGGAAACTCGATGTAATTTCCCGGCGGTGACGATTAGACGCGAAACACGCGCGAATTCTCCCGGAGCGGGAGAACGTGACAAATCCGGAATATTTGCCGGCGAGAGACAGTACACCGCGCGACAGCGACGACAGCCGGACTTTCGCAAAAACGCCGATCCGGTGCTTCGATTAGTGAAATTATCCACGGCGAGGTGTCATCGAAAAACGCTCGAACATCCCTCTCTCTCTTTCTCTCTCCCTTTCTCTCTCTCTTTCGCTACTCTTTTCGGTCCGAAGAAGATGCGAGAGGAAGGGGAATATAGATGAAATGGACAAGCGGAAATACAGAGATAGATGTCTTGTTATTCGAATTCAAAAAGCGAAAGCGGCTCCCCGGACGGAATTTAGAACGTCTAGGAAATTCATCTCGTGGGAGAGACATGCAAATTCGTTTCGGACCGATCGAAAGTTTCGGACTTTTCCGACAGACGCCGAACTAGACGCGACACGCTAATTTCTACGTCAAACTTGAAGTTTCGGATCTGTTCATTTAAATCGTCGTTTCTTATTTTCTTCTTACCTACTTTATATTTCGTCCTTACAGTAGTTTTAGTTTATTTATTATTTATTTATAGTAGCCTCTTAATATCGTCATTGAAAATCCGGCGTTCTATTACTTTAATGAAACAACTTTGCGACATACACTACACTCTCATAGACGAATCGATGTTTTGTTTATGAGAAACAAAATTTGGTTCTCCGAGGCAACCCTCTTTCACTTTCCTCTCAGGGAATCAAATCTTTGGTTCCAGAGAACCAAGCTTTGTTTCTTACAACCAAAACATTTGCCCATATTCAACTTCAAACCGAAATTTGCTTCCGTCAACTAACTAAATAGGTTTCTCAATGCAATTGTCACTTCTCTCTCTCTCTCTCTCTCTCTCTCTCTCAAGATACATCCTTCCCCGCTAATAAATAACATTGATAATTATTATTACTTTATTGCCCTAACAAATAGCAGTTATTTGAGCAATGAATACTTAATGAGGGATATTATCGGGCGATGCAGCCGGAAGGGCTGGTAACTAACTGGAGAATCTCGCGCGGAGAATTCTCACGATGCGCCTCGGACGAAATTCGCGCGTTATAGCGAAGAGATACCGATACAGTTAGCGCGGCAGGAGGGAGGAGGAGGGAAGGTTACGAGGTAAACTTGATTCGTAGCTGTGAGAAGACTTATTTATCAGGCGGCGCTCCAGGAAGAACTTTCCTCTCTCTCTCTCTCTCTCAGTGCGCGAAGCGCGTGCACGCGTAATTACGTCGAGCGAACGAACGGCCGAACGAATGAATGAACGAACGAACGAGTGAATGAATGACGTCGCATTAATAGCGCGCACGGAGCGCACGTAAAACGGCACACGAGCGCTCGTGAAAGCGTGTCCCCGTTAAAAAAGAGACTCGATTACCACTTCCGGCCTGTAGCGGGAAAGCTCACTGACTAAAAACGCGTCGAAAGAGTACGCGGGTCCCCGGGGAACGCGATACACCTCGCTTGCGAGCGAGTGGGAGAGAGAGAGAGAGAGAAAAAGAGAGGAGAAGGAGACGCGGCACGCGAGATACGATTTTTATCCGGCGAAAATGGAGTCGCGGGAAAATAAGCGTCGATGCGGTGGCGATTAATCATTGCTCGCGCGGCGCCGTTTAAGCTCGGCCGGAGCGGCGGATTAATGGCCGAATTAATTAGCGAACAGGCGCGAGAGAGAGAGAGAGACACGGTCCTTCTTTTCCTCACGTCGTGCGTTTCTCCTTGTTGCAGATTGGATGCAGTTAATTGATCGAGACGGAGAGCGGAACGAGATCTCTTCCTCCTCCACCCTGTGTCTGTCTCTCCTGGATATTGGATTGCGCGAAGGAGAGTGAAGCTTAACGGTAAGCACAAAAGCGCCCCCGTTTGAAAGCAAGAGCATGGAGGCGCGCAGGCACGCCCGCGCTACAGGACGGGTCAAAAGTCACGCGCGTCGCAAAGGAGAATAATTTACCTTTGATCGTGTCCGATTGGAATTGTATCTCTCGTAGGTTTCTCGGATGTTTCTCTAATTGGCGACCCATTCTTAACCCGCCAGTGTGTAACAAGTAAATGAAATTGAAATAAGAAAAATCTTTGCACCAGGTTATTTTAATTGTTCGTTTCTTCGCGAAGAAACAATCTTTTCCTGAAAATTCTCACCGTGATATCAACTCTCCCCTCGTTCACAATATCCAATAGATATCAATCTGAAGTCGGCTCCGCACGATGTCGCAAATGTAGGCGAGTATTGGCAATTGATCACGTACGTTATTTGTGTTTTATTACGTGATATTATGTTACAAATTATATGTTACATTTTAGTCCGATATATGTGAGATCAATATAATTGCCAATGTTCGCCTACATTTGCCGCGTCGTATGGAGCCAGCTTAATACTTGTCAATTTGTTCATCACTTTTGATGTACACGGAGAAAATATGGTTCAGCATTGCTTAATTTTGTGATAATTTTTACTACGATATTTTCTCCGTGCACTTTAGTGCCTGATTTATTACCCAAGTGCTAATGAAAGAAAATTTGTTTCAAGAAGCGGAGTAAAATAACGGGAAAATTAATATCTGTGAAATACATCGCGGCCATTCATGGGTGAAAAATATTGCGATTAACGGAAGGTTAAATAGCGGTTATCGGTGAAATTTCTACAAACTGTATTCTTACACGGGGAAAAGTAATTTGCTGACGCAGCAAATTTTATGCTGTCGCAGCAAAATCTGCCGGTGGCCGCGTGGATAGCGAAACGATTTCTTAAGAGTACTAATTGCCATTAGCTGGGTATGTTTTGCCGAGCCTCGACATTATTTTGCCGTAAGAACAGATTATAACTGACAGATTTGATATAAGGCGTAAAATTTGCCGTGTCAGCGAATTATTTCTCTCCGTGCGGTAACAAAATTATTCCCGCTCCGATCACGAAGAATTCGCTAATTTCGTTATGCCAGCTAAATTTAATCGCCGCCGCAAACGAACATGCAGTAGAGGCAACGACGTGGTTTCGCTGCGACAACAAAATTATTCTTCTCCGTGCAAAGGAACAGTTATTTCCCATTTTACAAATTATTTGCAGATATTATCTTCGGTGACGCGCTATTTTTGACACGTTCCTCTTTTGCACGAACAACATTCCGCTCCCGCGAACACAAAGTGTCGGCTCCGCGTTCGCGCAGCACGCCCCGGCAATCACGGAGATTGTCGTGAAACAACGACACGCGACAGCCGCCGCGTCCAAACGCGCCGCCGCGTGTCTCGCGAATTTTCGCAACGATCCGCCGAATCGTTCCCGGCGGGTTTCGGCATTTCAAACGCGTTTTCGGCGAACGCGGGCCCGGCTGCGCGCGTTCGCGGAAAATAACGCGCGGAATTAAATTTTAAATTAAATCGAGCCCGTATTTCGCCGGCGATTTGGCAGCCGCGCCAAATGCGGCGCTTTGCGCACAGGAGGGGAGGCGAATTCCTTCGTCGTGCCCCCGCTAATTGAACTCTCTCCGGCAAGGACTGATAATTAAAGCCGATGGGGTTTAACCCTCCCTCCTCCACCGGCGCGAAATCGTTATCATAATATCGCGGATTTTGGTTAAACCGCACTTTACTTTTGTTTGAGAGAGGCTTATCACATTACCGCTGTGAAAGATAAAGAGATAGAGATACATAGAGAGAGAGAGAGAGAGAGAGAGAGAGAGAGAGGGGAGATTCTTTCGTCGCTTGATAAAATTTTTATCCTCGAAAAACTCGAAGCGTGCGAGTTTTGCGGGTGGTGTGGAGATGAGTCGGGAGGTGGAAGGGATTAAAATTCATCCACGGAAATTTCACTCTCTCTCTCTCGCTTCCTCAACGCCTCAGCAGCAGCGATACATATTTTACGGTACTTAACCGGTATTTCGCGCGCGGCCGGACGGTCTTGGCTGTTTGCGCACGACGGGCTCAAGGCGATAGACCGGAGCTGTTTGTCCAGTCAACACAAAACTCTCTCTCTCTCTCTCTCTCTCTCTCACTTTTCGCCCACGTGTGGTATCGCGACGAATTGCCGCCTCGGACGTATAAATCGCGCCTGCTAAGAACCACCGTGGGGGTAAAACAATCCCGCGGGCGCGTCTATTACGAGGCGGCGCGCCGTCGGCGCGCGCGAACGAGCTCTTCCTTCCGGTTCTCCAGAGGTATTCGTTTGAATTCTCGAGCGAGAGAGCCGACGGGTGAGGGGGGAGGGGGATAATTAGGGGCGAGAAGCCACGGGATAATTATATTATAAATAGGATAACCGCGTCTCGGCGGCGACGTCGGGTCGTGTTAATTTGGAAATAGTTTCGGGATATAGACATGGCCGGGCGGGGGGAGGGGCGTGACGTGTAGTTAGCGCGGCGTGTTGCCGGGTCGTAATCTTAAATCACGATTATCTCTTTCGACCGGTCCCCCGACTCCGTCGAGAGTACTCATCCGAGTCGGATAAAAGCGCGAGGCTTGCTCGTTGAGGCGGCCCGCCGAGGAGGAGTTAGGCGAACACGGCGTGACTGAGCGGACACTTCATTAAGCGCGCCGAACAGCGAAATAATAAGGCGGATAATAGCGGGTAATGCTCTCTTAACCGAATATAACGGCTCGCTAATTCCCCCAACGCGTTGTTTATTTCCCCTAGTTATTATATTATTGTATCTCTCTCTCTCTCTCTCTCTCTCTTTCTCTCTCTCGTTCTCTTCGGCGCATTATGGTCTTTAATATTGTGCTTTATTGTCTCCTCTTCCTCCCTTTCTTCTTCTTCAGTATTGTATTTCGTATTTTCTCCTCCCCTCTTTCCCTGCTCTATTCTCTCAGCGTTTAGAAGGGGACGCTGGACTTTTGAGATGAAAAAGTATCGATTTTTGGATTCTAATGTGATTTCTTATGCGGTTCAATTTTTTAGCGGCGTTTTGTCGTTTGTTGAACTGAAAGATACCGGAAATTGCGATTTTGACAGCTGAAAAACGAGAAAGGCGCATGCTCGGGTTTTTCGATATATTCCGTGAAACAAAAATTTCATTACACCAGCGTTCTATATCGATTGTAAATATGTCGGACTCTTTGTAAGATGTTTAGGAAATATTACAGAATGCGAATAAAAGTTTCCACTTATCAGTATGGGAAATTACTTCCGAACGTAGTTACTCTGGGCAATAAATTGTGTAAGTAGCTAGTGTATTTGAGTACAGTGAGCTTTAATGGCGGACAAAGGTGAAAAATGGAACCCTCTCTTCATCACCGCATATTTCATAATGAGCAAGCTTTCTTGCAACTTTAAATATCTCAATTCTTTTCTCAATCGTATCCGAAACTATTACTAAGACGTAAATTTATTCATACTTGTGACGAGTAATTTGTGACTAGTGCTTTACTTAACCGATCTCTTCGCGTGTTCCAAGGTCCGATGCTCCCTTAAGAAAGTCCGTCGCGAGCTGGCGCATCGCGACGCGCCGCGCGACGTGCGCGCAGTCTCCGATGCCGCTTGGAGAGTTGATTTTTCGAGAAGATGAGAAAAAGTGTATGCGAAAAAAAAAGAGGGGGAATCGAAACGGAATTGCGGAGAATCGTGGTGCAAAAACCGCTCGGTTCCGTTCGGAAATGGAAGATTTTTTGCGCATTAAACATCGGCGGTGGGAGCGCCATTTCAACGTGGATTGACGGAGCTATCTTGGTGGACGGAACGTTTTTTTATTTGTTTCTTTTTTTTCCCCGACAGAGAGAGAGAGAGAGACGAAGGAAATAGCGAATTTCACGGAGCCGCGCCGATAATACCGTGTGTACGTCTATTTCGTCGGCTCGTCCATCAGCGGAGTATCGGAGCCGGGATCTCCGATATTCTTTGATGTTGCATTAACCGGTTGCGGATTTAATCAGCCGCAAGTAATCCGGCAAAAGTGCGCGCCCGGCTAAAGGAGGTGTCACCGCACGTGGTTTCGGCGGAAATGAAAGGTGAGCGGCGAGCGCGTTATAATTGCAGCTACCCGACGTGCGCAAGCCGTTCGCTTTGTCGTCGCGTGTCGGACACACACGGGGGATGAAGTGCTGGGATCACCCAGTGGCCCGCGAGAGAAAGAGATAGATAGACAGATGGATGGGGAAAGAGGGATCGAGACAGACACAGAAGGGAAGAGCGGAGTAGATTTAAGGGCGCGCGTGTCGTTGACAGGGCGGAAGCCGGCTTGTTTAATTCGCAATTACGCGATAAGTGATTCGATCGACAATGCGACTCGGCAATTTAATTTCCGATCGTGCGGCCGCGATTTCCGCGAGATTCGCTCTCGCGATTCGTCATCGGGACTAGGGGAAGGGAGAGGGCGAGGGGGACCGGTGGTTTTCGCAATTTCGTGTAACCGAATATTTACGCAAATTCGCGGCGATTAATTTTTCGCGGAGCGCTAGAAATAAAAACACACCGGGACAGAAATTCGATTAAATAACGAAAATGTTTCAATCGGAAGCGAAAGGGACCTTCTCCCCCCCCCCCCNTATGTTTCTTTTTTTTAATCGATTGCGGAACGCGCTAAACGCGGTTTACCTGTTCGATCGACGAGGGAAGCTCGGGTCGCGGATAGGATCATTATTCCGGAACGGAGCAACGGCCGCAAGCCGTTTACACAGCGGCCAGTTTACACCCCCGGGACGGTGGGCGAAGTAAGTAAGACGCATGCACGACGAATCGATTCGCCGAGGATAAACGGCCAGGCGGGCAAATAATCGGGCGCGTCGAGGTGTCGTTATAAGGGGGCGGCCAGATGTTATCGCTCGGCGAGAAACGGCCCCCGGGACAATAGATATCCGGCCTTTCGCGCGAACGAGCGAGCGAGAGAGAGAGAGAGAGCGCCGGATTCGCCGT